CATATGCACAAGAGAGCACGTCGTTTATGACTGCCTTTATGAACGCGTTTCGTTCACCTCTTCCCCCCCCCCTCTGCGAGCGGTGGAAGGATCGGGTGAAACACTCGGAAGGGGGGGTAAGGGGGGGCATTCTTGCCCGTCTCAGGGAATAATAAAACGTCCAGCTTTCTGAGGCGCCGATCCCGCAGTTTTTAGCCTACGATCTCACCTCACAGGCGCGTGCCGTCCATGGTTCCGGATTCACCGGCTCCACGAGCCAGACGGACGAGAAGAACGGGAAGCACGGAGAGGGAAGCTTCCATCTTCTTCCTCGTCTGTCTTCTTGGAACGACTGGATGAAAGCACGAAAGCACGAGGGCCACGAGAGATCCGCGACGCGGTCCGAGAGGACGTATTGGAACGTTCCGAAGGAGACGCGAGGTCACGTCAAGGGCGGCCGTCGACAAAACGGCTCATAAAAACAGAAAAAGAAAGAGACAGGGTCGCTGGATTTGGCCGGAGGCTAAATCTATCCAAGTCGGAGCAATAGGTAGGCTCCCTGCTTTTTTTTTTTTTTTTTTTTTTTTTTACAAGAGTCTCCGTGTCTTTAGACATGTGATTGTGCAGTGAGAAACGATAGCAACAGCTCATGCTATTTTCTGATGATTCTAAGACCTTCCAATACGAGGAGGAAATGGAGAAAACCACTCCCTCTTCTCCCCTGCCCAACCGAGGACAGATTTCATCCTCGATCGGAAAGAAAACAGATTCTGGATTTCTTTCAGATCGACGGAATCCAATGATTTGGAGGATTTGGAACTCGCGGTAGACCCAGAGAGGAAGGTGTTCGATTCCCTGCTTCCCGCTGACCTTGCGTGCGTGCGTGCGTGCGTGCGTGCGGAAAGCATGCCGAACGCGATCCGCTTCGCCCCGGAAATTCGGCCAGAATTCGGAATTCCAGGAACGCAAAGCCGAATTCCCATTCCGTCGTGAAAAACGAGGCACGCGTCGAAAATGCCATCTGAAAAGGGGCTAAAGGAGGTAAACAAAATAAGTAAACAAAATTTCAGCCAGACGGACTCGGGTCGGAGACGAGAAGGGAAGCAAAAGGACAGGACAAAACGAGCACTCGGAAGGTGAGAAATGAATACTAGGTGGACGGAAATATCCAGCGAGAAGACGATCGACGATCCCGAGGTGGAATGGGACCGAGAGGGGACGCGATGCAAAGCGCAGCTGTCGAGTCTCGAGGCGATGCAGCTCCACGGTGGACGGCCGGAAGTCATGCAGGTCGTCCGGACGCGTTCGAGCGCGAGGGGCGAGACGTCCGTGAGAGAGCGAGTCGCGGGAATCCGAGTCTGTGACGTCTCGTTGGGGAATGGGACGGTCGACGTGAATCGGATTCGGTGAGATTCCAAATGCACCGAAGTGCAGGGTGGCCCCACTTCGACGGGTCGAGAAAATCACGTACCTTGGGCTCTAGGCGTCGAGGCGGGCGATTCGGAAACGAGATCGACGATCGCATCTCCGGGACTCGATCCATCTTGCGAGAACTCCAGAGGACAGGGGTTGGGGGTTCCCGAATTACAAAGTTTCAACGATGCGAAACATCGATCCGGTTCTTAAGTGCTTCCACTCCACGACGACGAAGAGTTCTTCCAGCGGGTGGCCGGAGTCACGCACCGTGATGGCACGCGGAATCACGCACCGTGACGGGATGCGGAGTGCCGTCATGCGTGAAATTCCCGCTGTGGAATTCGGCAGGGGTCTGGGAACGAGAAAGGACACCTCGATTTCGGGATTTCTCGACGAGAAAAAGAGTCGTTGGAGGGAAAGTGGGACAGGCCATCGGAGAAGCGAACGCCCTCGAGATGCGAGAGAGCCTTCAGCTATTGGGATCGTTATCGTTAAAGGGGGAAAGGGGAGATCTCCAACGGCCCCCGCCCCTCGCCCCCGCCCCCAGCCCCCGCCTCCAGGTTCAGATTGTATCAATTGGGGAAATATTACATATAAAATTAAATCTGGTTTTAAAGGCGCGTCGAGGTCGAATGTGACTTCGCAAATATTCATTAAAATATGGATTGATCGCTCCTTCATTGAACCCCAGCCAGACGCTTCCAAGAAATCAACAGGAAATGGGTGTTTGAATCCTCTCTGCATGGGTCCCAATATGTCCCCCCCCCCCCTTTTGATGGAGGAAAATGGCTAGGCGATGGATCGTGGCTGCTTCTCAAAAAACAAAACACGAGGTCTTTTAGGTACCTGGACATGATGAGTGTCTGGAAAACATAACAACCAAGGCAGAGCGATTGAAAAATGTAAGTAACTGCATCGAGGACAAAGAAGTCGGCATCCCTATGAGCAATGCTTCGTGGAGCCGTGGTCCCAAGTAACAATGGTACATTCCTGGAGTACATCCGGCTTTCATCCGGCTTTCATCCGGCTTTCGTCCTAACGTCCGCATACGTATAACGATTTCCCTGAAAAAAAAGCAACCTTTTATAGTGCACGCGATCATTTCCAGCGTACATGTACAGGCAAGAAATTCGACTTGGTTATAGCACTTTTCGATAGAGGAAATCCCGTTGAAGGAGACATCCGGGCAATTCTTGCGGAGCGAATAGAGGAAGAACGGTTCACATCGGGGAATAATTCCAGGGACTGATAAGAGAAGCCTGCTTGCAACGTCTGTGGCCATGAGCGGCATTGTACATGGCAGGGAGGCCGAGTCTGGAGATACCTATTCTATTCTATCTCTATATATATACTATATTAGTACATATAGAGTTTAGTATGGGTTAACGACCCACGGCGTATAATTGTATTCGAGCGTCGAGAGACGTCGACGGGGGATCCAGATGTCAGCACAAAGGGTCTCAGAGTCCGTGGTAGGTTCTGCCTGGAATCGAATCCGCGATGCCATCGCCGAAGGCAGCGGTCGGCAACTGAATTTCACGGGAGGCCGGATGACAAAATGCTGCACGTCCGCGGTCCAATACCTATCAAGTGTCATCAAAATGTTAAAATTTGATGAATGCCTAATGTCAAAGGGAAAGGTGGGAAAGGACACCTCGATTTCGGGATTTCTCGACGAGAAAAAGAGTCGTTGGAGGCATCCTCGACGGAAAGTGGAACAGGCTATCGGAGAAGCGAACGCCCTCGAGATGTGAGAGAGCCTTCAGCTATTGGGATCGTTATCGTTAAAGGGGGAAAGGGGAGATCTCCAATGGCCCCCGCCCCCAGCCCCCGCCCCCAGCCCCCGCCTCCAGGTCCAAATTGTATCAATTGGGGAAATATTACATATAAACTTACATCTGGTTTTAAAGGCGCGTCGAGGTCGAATGTGACTTCGCAAATATTCATTAAAATATGGATTGATCGCTCCTTCATTGAACCCCAGCCAGACGCTTCCAAGAAATAAACAGGAAATGGGTGTTTGAATCCTCTCTGCATGTGTCCTCTCTCTGCAATATGTCCCCCCCCCCTTTTGATGGAGGAAACTGGCTAGGCGATGGATCGTGGCTGCTTACCTGCTTACCTAAGGACTGGAGACGAGCAAACGTCGTACCGATCTTTAAGAAGGGCGAAAAGAGTCATCCAGGAAATTACAGGCCTGTAAGTCTCACGAGTATCCCAGGGAAGATCATGGAGAGCATACTAAGGGACCATCTCTTGGATTTCCTCAAAGGAAACGCGCTCATTCGGGACTCTCAACACGGCTTTNCAGTTTTGGAGGCCTACAAATAAGGGCGATCTGTTGGCGCTCGAGGGAGTACAGAGGAGGGCCACAAGAATGATTAAGGAGGTTAGGAGACTATCATACGAGAAGCGTTTAGAAGTGTTGGGACTGTACTCGCTCGAACGAAGGTTAAGGAGGGGCGATCTCATCCAGGCTTTCAAGATGATTAAAGGAATAGATAATGTCGAGTGTGGTAGGTTTTTCCAGTTTGATGACAGCAAGAGAACGAGAGGTAACCGACTTAAGTTGGGCAAACCGCAGGTGCGGCTCAGGTCGAGACAGGAATTTTTTACTTGCAGAGTGGTGAACGCGTGGAATGCGTTAGATAATGAAGTAGTGGCTGCCCTTCTGTGACTATCTTTAAGACGAAACTAGATGCTTTCATGGACAGGCAAAAAGGTGGGGGGCAATGTTGACGTTAGGTACTAGACAGTAAGCAACTAGGATAGTAAAAAAAAAAAAATACAAAAATATTTAGCTTTAAGAGGGTTAGGCCTACCCTTTGATTAACACGTTGGCGACAATGCGTCCTGATGCCAGGATGCAATTTTTTTTTTCAATGAATACCCTCTGGAACTGTTGAGAACGTTCCAGAAGATTATGATTTCGTAATTACTGATAAAAATTCCAAAAAATTCAACATTTTAAAAAAACTCGGCAAAAAAAAATGTTTTCTGGGACCATGCGTCCTGATGGCAGGACGCATTTTTTGACAAAAAAAATGCGCGTGGTCCCACGCGGCGGACAAGCAAAAATAGGCTGGTCGTCAACGTGTTAAGGAACGCTCGACCTCGACACGTGATATCGAAATGGGCAAAATCGCCTCTTGATGTCACTATCTTGACTCTTGACAAACGTCCAGCCGAACGGCGACTGTCAGACCGTAATGCGCGATAGCCGGGCCTTCGCGGGCCGGATCTGACCTGCTGCCCGCCAGTTGCCGACCCCTGGCCTAGCGGATTGTGCAACCAATATGCAAACCCCTTATCACCATCTCTCAGCATTCGAATGTAGTTATACGCCGTGGGAGGTTAACCCATACCAAACTCCATATGTACTCCAAATGATGGCAGATTCTATCGTTACCAAAGCCCGAGTCAGTTGGGAAAAGGCTACAGGCCCATTGTAAATCTTGGGAAATGGGTGAACTGTGTGGATTGTGAGATCAAATTCAAATACAGACTTACTAAACCCACTGAGGTGCTCTATTTTCTTGATATGATAAGACCTTGAGCACTTAAATCCACAACAAAACAGGGATAATAATAAAGAAAATACAACCTCAGGAAGATGAAAAACTTTATACATTCTTTTCCATCATCAGGCAATGTAAAACATAAAAAAGTCTGAAGGCATGCTTTGACTGATAATCGGATGGAGACTCATGGTTGGAAATGAGTGACCCAGTACATCACATCAAAGATCACAGGCAAGTATCACATGAGGAGATGCTGCATTCACATCACCTCTCTGTCCTTGCTCCCATCGATACCAGGAATGTTAACGCGAGACACGAGATGAGAAGTCCTAGAGACGGGGACGATGAACTCCCCCCGCACACCAACACGTCCTTGTGGTACTCGAGGGTACGTGGGACTGCCATCGGACGCTTGCACACCATTCCTTCGTTCTGCTTACAAGAAAACACATTCCATCAGGCAAGTTCCTTGGCATTAACATCAAGAAATCATTTTCCCTATGGAATAATTACTATAGCATGGAGGAATGAAACTTACTGAGCAGATGTCTTGGCACCAGGGGCACACAATAGCCCCTTGGTGAAGCCAGTCATTAGCAAATAGGCTGATTTCGATCACCTGCCCCGGATGAAAGCACGTAAAGGTATGATTCTCCACCTGAAATGGGAATCATTCATGTGAACACAGGCTCATTGCAGGGGGAGTGATTTAATCACTTGAAGACTTCACTTGGGAAGAAGGGTCACAACTTAGACATACATATGAAGGCCCAAAAAAACTAGTAGCACATTGAATTGACTGAATATATTCAATATTAGTTTCAGATGTTATTTTTATCTTTCCAAAGATTCTTCTCTCTGGCTCAATAGGCTCTCCTCTGGCCAAGACAGAGAGCTAGAGAAAGCCATACAGTGAGAAATGAACATTGTGTTTCAGTCATGCAAGTTGCAACTGCATGTTGTAGAATTAGTGTATCCACTGAGAAGAGTCTTTAGTTTATAAATAGTTTTGACTGTTGAATGTTTGTACTTATGGAAAATAAGGAAACATAGGATCTATTCTTCATCAAATAAGTTGTAAAATGCACCTGAAGCACAAAAAGTGGATGAAGGATGAACAAACCATGAGATGAAGATGGCCATCATAACAGAGATACTGGTAGCAACCAGATCCCCAGTGTTCCCAATGACGTTTGAGGAGACAGTTACGCTCCACCCATTGTCGACCTGGTGGGTGCTCAACACACACAGAGTTTTCCCCATACAACTCCAGGGCAAAATTCAAATCTGGAACTGTCATTACACAGAATTCTTCATAATGTATGACTAGAGAAAGAATCATAACAAATTCTAGTTAACTCCCTCACTCTCACCTGGATTATTTTCTTCATAGAGACAGTGAGATCCACGGACATATTTGTTTTGTGACTTCCAAGTGAATTCTTGGACATAAGGACAATAATCAGCTAGGACAACTGATCCACCATATTTAGACAAAGCATTCTGAGCCACATTTGGAAGGTAGTCAAAGTTCTGGGGAGAAAAAAGAAAAATTCATTTCAAGATCAACATCAGAGTTTAAAAAATCTCTATCTATAGTGACATCTAAGAAAAAAATCAATTTATTTTTTAAATAGCAAGATTTTTCCATTTTGTATAGATTTTGTATTTTCCTGTATCAGTCCTGTCAGACTTAAGGCTCAAGCAGTTTTTTAATTTGCTGTAGAGATTGAATCCAATACCGATTGGGATACAAGGAAGATTCCCATTAATCTTTCTGTATTGATGACAGAACTGTGCCCCTTTTCTTTTGTGAGGGCTTATCCACACCAGAGTATCTTGCATAGAGAATGAATGACTATTTCAAAATAAAATATTTTGAAGACTTCTAAAGCCTTGTTTCAAAGTATTAAAGTCTTCCAAAGAAAACTTTCAAAGATATCTGAACCAAGAAAGTGTTATTTGCTGGACAACTCACAAAGAAAAGCACCAGAGAAAACTTTCTGGGGGAGCAAGGCATTAAGTCTAACATAGCAATTTGCCATGTCTCCATTCAATATTTTCATTCACAAACCAAGTACAATCATGACCCCAGGGTGGCACAAAATTAGGCAAAAAAATATATTTTAGCTTGGGTGCTAAGAAAAGTGAAAACTGGAGAACTGAATGAAATACCTTGAGACACAGAAAGGAAAGACAGGAAAAAAGTATACAATGCTCTGGTTCCTAGTTGAAGAACATGCTACAAGTAAAATTAAAGTTATTTTGGCACTAATATCTTTGCTAACATTTAAATTTCTGCTAACCATGATGATGATTACAATGGGTTCTTTCAATGTTGGAAATGGACCAACCTGGAATTGCAAAGGTAGAGGTGTTGGATGTTCAATGAGGTTGCACAAAGCCACAGATGTCCGATCGGCCGAGCACTCGGTCTGAAGGGGGTCCCGTTTCACCTTGTCACAATAAGGGTACAGCCTTTCACCCCTGGAACATGAGCACTCATGCAGAGCAACTCCCACATATATCTCACAGGGGAAAAAAGTACTTGACAACTGACTCATTCAGCTTGACATCCATCCACTCTTTACAAGACTTCATGGCAAAATCACAACCAAGACCCTTTCCCCAGGACAACTCTTGGGCCATTTCATAATTGGGGTAATACCAGCCAGTGTCCTCCATCAGTGCAAGAGTGATGCGAGAATACACTGGATTCTGAGTATGTGTTCCCGTCATTGCCTCGTTCTGAAAAGAAAATGAGATGCAAATATAGAAATACTATCAGAACTACCGTTATGCTGATGCAAACAAGGACATTACTGTCTTGTAATAAGAGTAAAATTTCCCTCATATGGTCATCATATCTATGGTGGTCACTGAATATCTGGTATATAAATTATTCTAGTTATGGATAACTTTCCCTACTATCATATTCAACAATACTTGTCAACCATTAGTAAAATATGTAACCATAAGGGACCTAAATATCTGTCGCAGTCCTACCGCTCATGAATTTATTCACCATAAAATTGAATTTTTGAATTTATAATAATAAGTTACTTCCTTTAAGGTAAAGCATGAAGAGCAAGACTAAGGCATTAAGTGGAATAACTTTAACCCTGAAAAATAGTCCCAGTTTTTCGGCTTCCATGAAAAGAAATCACAAAGACAAATATTATAACTATCCTACCAAAATGGGTGGATCAACAATGAAACTGAGTGAAAATATTCAGAAATTCATCAGTATGAACATGGAAAGGGAAAGGGTGTGAACATGATTAGTCCAAGGGTGTGTATGGGTGCAGGAATCCCTTGAACCACACAAGCTCATGATAAAGCTGATGCATATCAAGGAGTAGTCACACCATTGACACTCAAAGAGTGCTCATGATGGAAAAAGTATCTTGAGAGGAAGCATAATACAGAGATAAGTGCATTCAAGTATAAGAATTTAGCACAAAAAATTATAAATTAAAAAAATACACAACTTTGGTGAATCATAGGGTAAGAAAATGTCCAAAATCAGGTGTGTATTTAAACTATGGCCCCTTCAGCAAATACACTTTTGGGAGTGGATTCATACTTCTTTGCTGCATCAGAAGATATCCAGATTACAACATATTTTATTGGTATGTATTCAGGCTCCTAAGGGACAAATACAGATCAGAGACTCAACACTAATTTAAAATGGTTTGAAGGGAAGATTGATCATGATATAACTAGGTATGCTTGCATGACAATATTAAAAAAAAAAGTGATTATTAGCCAGATTCAAAGTCTTGGAGGGCAAAAAAACTCATGTAAAAATTTGCAAAAAAAATTCCATGTGAAGGGCTCAAGAAAAAATCAGTAGTCATTCTCATTGCACAGTGCCACTTTTTGAAGATGAAAAGATAGGCACTAGTAATTCCCCATCACAATGCAAAAGATCTCATTTCTAGGTCTAAGGACAGTAGACTCTTTCTCCATGTTTAATAATGAAAATGCAAAATGGATGCACATTTCTGACAAGTTACTGCTCTACTGTACTACTCCAAAAGACTATCATGTTGTCTAATGCAGCAGAAGTATGAGTCCACCCATGCTTGCAATAGGCAAAGAGTCATACTTCAAAAATCCTCTTTTCCCAATGGGTGAGAGCAGTGCCCTCTTGTCCCTGGTCTTCCAGTTCAGCTCCCTCAAGTAGAGGACAATTGAAGTGAGCTCGCACTTCTTCTACAACCCGAGGGGTTACCATCATGTTAATCTCCTTCTCGATGTATCCACCAGCAACGAGCCACTGCTTCCGCACTGCTCTTTGAACAACTGCTTCACTCCATTGTCTTGTATGTAACCTAAAATCAAGTCCACCATGTGAAAAACAGGAAAACTACAACAGGAAGAAACCACCTCATTCTCTTCAAACATAAAAGTGGAATTTCACCTTAAGAAGCAGGTTAGTGTTAATTAATAGCAGGTAAGTGGAATTTCACCTTAAGAAGCAGGTTAGTGTTAATTAATAGCAGGTTTTATTACCTGCCTCTCTTACAGCATAGAACAAAAAGCATGTTCAGTTTCATAAAACTACTGGTTTTTTGCTGAAAGAATGGTTACCCTTAAACTGCAAATGACATGGAATATTCAGTTATGCAGGAAGCTATGCATCATGCAATTCATAATATAATTGTAAGTCAAGGAGGGGAGTTGGGACTCTGTCTCCATCTGTCAAAGCCATATCTTGACAATCAACTTACAGAATGAATTATTGCAAATATTGAGCTAAATCAATTATAGCAGCACTTCCCAACCCAGCGTCATGAACCAGCAACTAAAAACCAAGTTTTATTTTTCTTTGGGATTTTAGCGCATTGGTGATGGAGTCTGTTAAACTTCGGTCAGTTCTTGGGGTCCTGAATGGTATGATCGTGATTTAGGAGGCTGCACGTGAGAAAGGTTGGGAAGCCCTGAATTATAGGTTCATGTAAAGAAGCATTAATTCTTATGAAATCAAAATTTACTCATATCTATCATGCTTTTTGTACCAATAAAACCCTCTCTTTAAAGCCATATGATTATGAGTACATAGATATATTTCAGAAACCTTGGAAAAGAGCAAAGGAGAAGTAAACCTTACTCTTCATTTAGGAGAGGTTTCCCATTGTCAGTCCTGGGAGTGCGAGGATTCCCATCCTTATCACGAAAGAAGGCAAACAGAGAAACTGAGAACCCTAGAGCATGAAGAATTTCATGTTTCACAGTAGAGGACAGTGTTGATAATGCTTGGGCCTGAGTGCTGATGCTGCTGGGACATAGGTTTGCATGTCCTGCAATGGGTCTGCAAAACAACAATTTATCTCAGTACATCACACAATGGGAAAATTAAAAGAAACAATGAATGAAGAAGCAAAACAAAAGTCAGACATGACTCAGCAGCTCAATTGGGCAAAACCTAATGATGTAACCAAATGCTGACAGACAACTTCAACATAGTGGCAGAATAATGAAACTACTTTGAAGACAAGAAAAAAATTACTGTTACCATAAAGAACAGTAAGAATTTACAAAATGTTTAAATCCAATTAAAATTATGAATTACATATAAACATCTTGCACCTTTCTAAGTAATACAAATAAACAGTGCCAGCTTGTGATATTTAGCGCTCGTGGTTTGTCTATGGAGATGGGGTAGGCAGGGGACTAGTGGTTCTTAACCCCTGGGTCGCAACCTGAAATTGGGTCACCAAGGGTCTCCAGTGACTGTCCGAACTTTCACATATTTATCACAAGTAAACTGTTTGAGGGCATGGGTTGTCAAGCTAACCCCGTGACTGGAATTTGGGTCGCAGCCAAAAAAGGTTAAGAATCACTAGCACTAAATATCACGAGCCACCATTGTTGCAGACATAACATTTGGAAACAGGCAAGACTCAAAGGCATGTGTCATGTGCATAGTCAATAACATCTGAATACATAAGCTATCCTGACTGTTACTTCTTTTCTTAAAATCCTGTTCAAGAACACTAATTTGACTTAAAGCTGAAACTAGCAGACAGATTTTAGCTGTAAGCTTCCAGCTAAACCAATAAACATGTCTGCATTTCTGAAAAGCAGTAGTTTTTGAATATCCTTTTTGACTCATTCAAATGAGTAGCTATCAGCCAAAAGCTGCAATAGCATTTAGAAATGCTTCTAAGGAATGCCAGAGTGCTTATCAGCTGCTGACTGTGTATATATCATGATGATGATCTATTCCAATTTAGCATCCTTTTAGCACCAATAAAGGTTGATAACAAAATTAAACTCTTCCCATTCACCCACAATAGGGTTCAATGTATCAAGAAATCTCAAAGGACTCTTTCACCTGTCAAGGGCAGCCTCTTGCTGACAATGTGCAGCATAGGCAACAGTCATTCCTTTGTGACAGCGCTCTGTTTCCATGGCTGAAACATAGAAAACAAAATCTGCTCCTTCTATCCCTTTCCCTCCTGGAGGTTCCACTTGATGGCAATTTCTCCCCAATCCATCACACACCCGACATGACTGAAAGAAAAACATAGTCCAGTTATGAAAATACACAGGAGTAAAAAATAATTTAAAAATCTAGAGCTCCTGTAAGATGTGTGCAGTGGCCATTCTTGGCATGAACAAGCAATATTTTGCTTTGCACAGGATAGCTTCCTGTCAATATTTTGTATGCCTTGGTTTTGTCACAAATAGAAATGGAATATGATTTTTTTTTCATTAAATACTAAAAATTTTAATAACTAGATGAAATACAAATAAACTACATTCACACCATCTGGCATGAGAGCTTTAAATTGTTATGCATTTGTTCAGTTCTTCCCTACACCTTATCATACTAAAAGTCAAGACCCTGGTGCTATTATGTGCATTTCACACTGTTCAGGGGAGCAAATTGGACAACAATATGCAGCATAAGTGTAAACCTATAGGCCAGACCCACTCCAGTGCAAAGGTGACCCACAGACAGTATATATCCATAGAAAATAAGGTCCCAGACATTGCATCTTTTGGGAATACATCTGCACCAGTATACTCCTTACTCTAAAGCAGGGGTCAGGAACCTTTTTGACATTGTGAGCCCAATTAAGATTGGACTAAGTTCTTGTGAGCTAAAGAGTTTTGGAACAACATAATTTTTCCTGAAGTTGGCAACAGACATATGCATTCTTTGATACAGAAAAAGATTGAGAAAAATGCAGAACCACCATGATTTTCAGTCATGACTCAATGAGCCAAACTTTTCAACTCATGAGCCAAATTCGGCTCATGAGCCATAGGTTCCTGACCCCTGCTCTAAAGGAACTAATACATACCACCAGCAATAAGGATGAGACAACATTTCAAATTCATAATACATATTTTAAAACTCACATCCAAATGCTCCTGTGGAACTCGAACCTCTCCACACATAGTAATTTCCTCACAACGATTCTTGCAGTATGGCAAGCTGTCATTTGTTTTGTAGAATACTTGATTGTCCTCACATTTCCTGCAGAGGAAGCATAATGTTTCTCAGTGGGGGGGAAAGCATAATAATGTAAATTTTTATGCTTTAAAAAATAGTAAGATATTTAATCGAAAAGCTGTTTCTTAGTGTATCCTGCATAACAAATACCCCTTGAGCCATTTACTAACTAACCCTAACACAATGTTACCATCCTTACACTTCAAAGTGTATGAGGCTATAAATTATAGGAACAAACCTTGTCTCCCTCCAAATTTCTTTACCACGTTGACGACCAGCCTATTTTTGCTTGTCCGCCGCGTGGGACCATGTGCTTTTTTTTTTGTCAAAAAATGCGTCCTGCCATCAGGACACATGGTCCCAGAAAACATTTTTGTTCTCAACAGTTCCAGAGGGTATTCATTGAAAATGAAATCTGCATCCTGGCATCAGGACGCATTGTCGCCAACGTGTTAATGCAAAACAGTCAAACACTGATGATGCAAGCTACAGAATGATGTGGGTCACATTTTTTGTCAAGTTCAGTTAGGGACAGTCACTGAGTTCTTGAGGCAGAGTAGCAGAAGGCAAAGAGATTGTTAGTGCAAAATCAACAGGATCCCCTCCAGTGCACTGCTGAATTTGGAAAGCAGCATATGCACATGCTGTACAAGTCTGCAAACCTTTAATTTAGTTTTTTCTTAACCACTTCCCAATGCAACCCTAATTGTTCAGCAATTTGAGCATGCAGAAAAAGGAGCACCACTTAAGGTATCACTTGATAACTGAGTGCTCCAACAACATCTCACCATTTCTTTTCTTCATTATTTTATCACTACCATCTATGGCAATTACATAGAAGGCTTGCTACTGGACTGGGCTCTGCCCAGTGTTAATATTTTTTGTACAATCAACTCAGAAACTTTCTCTTGCAAGTAAATAATTACATTTATCATACCATCATGTGCCCAGACAACTAGAACCTCTTTAGAATATCAATAAGCTGCCAATATTAATCAACTGGCTTTACTTTCCTGAAGAAAATATGTATCATTGAATTTATACCAGCTCTGCAGAAAATGCAACTTCTGCAAGAGTAAGCCTTTGCCAAGATGCCTCTAAGGTATTCTGATGGGCAATGCAGAGGGATACAAACTCAAGTAGGGTCAGAGGAAGTGGAGGACAGAATATTGGATGAGGGGAGGTAGGTAAAGGAATCTTGATGAACACTGGGGGGGAAGGTACTTCTTTGTTTGCTTTTCACTCCTAAAACTATAAAGCATGTAGCAAAACATGCTTGCCATGAATGAGAATTTTACAGAATTGATCTATGCAGGAAATTTTTGTTTAGCCATTAGCAGTCATAAGAATAGGAGTTCTCAATTTCATGGAAAGTGGGAGTTATAGGTATATTTCTGTTGGCTTTTAAGAGCCACACTACCAGTGGGCTAGCATTCAATGTTAATATGCATTGTAACAACATGTCAACAAGCCAATACAGCTTTGGAAATGGTGAAATTGGGAGCAATAAACTTCAAATTTTAACTTAATATTTTTCAATATTTTCATTGTTACACTTTTGTTATGCCACATAATTTTCTGATAAGTAATGCTTTTGATGGAAGTTCAACTGCACTCTGCAATTGAATCGCATGCTGTTTGCAACCTATGTGTTGAGAGATCTGCATTAGATTAATCGAAAGAATAAGAATAGTAATTTGCTTACCGACTCAGCCTGATGTTATTAGCTGTTTTCCGTACCCTGAGTGCAGCCTCCCAGAATTCTACTGCATCTGGCAATATTGTGTTCTGAAACAGTAGGAGCACCATGATATATATGAATGAAGGGAGTCAACCCTTCATCAGCTTGTGCAACATAAAATTTATCCAGAGCAGGCTAGATATACTGGTAAAGATATGGATGAATACAAGGTCGTAGGAATTTGGCAGTACAAATAATCTTACCATAAAGTCAACTAGGCAGCAAAGGGGACACAAACTGAGAAAAGAAATGAGAGAGAAGGGGACTCACATTGATGAGGTCAAATTTCTCAGAATCCAATCTGCAAAACAAAGAAAAAAGTTAGCTTTGAAGGCTGGCCAGATAGCACGGTAGGACTGGCTAGTATGTAAGCATCGTATATGATAAAATACAAAAACTGAGAAAACTGTCCAATTCCAATGATTAATGATTAATGGCTGTCTAAAAAAAGAAACGCTTAAGAGCTGGAATGAATACTGCATGATGTTTCATGGGAGTTATGTATTCCAGGTTGAAATGGCCATCAAGCAGTTCCTGTATTCATACTTGAACCACTCCTCGTCAAAGTCAATATGAATGCCAAGGAGTGTGTGGATATTTAAGACAATGCTGCACCGACAACGCACATAGAATTCTATGGTGTAGGTCCCTACCACTTCCAACAGGACAATGCTCCATGGTTCACTGCACGCCTTGTTACAGAGTGGTCTACAGAAAATAATGTGCCAACAATGCCGTAGCTGGCACGGAGCCCAGATTTCAACTAAACGCCACGGCGTGAAGGAAGGAAAGGCAGAATATTCCGCACGCTACTATCAGGGTTTGGTCCGGGACCTAAGTGAGAGAGTTCAACGAGGAGGTTATCATCCAAGCTAGGCGAGGATGACAGTCACCACATTGATAAGTGAGGCAATGGCCATGCACTGGATGCTCATGGATGAGATTTGACTAATGGTGCACGTGTCAGGCGCAAGAACAAGGCAAGTACATGACATTACAAGTAGAGATGGACAGGAACAAAACAGGAAGGAATGGAAAAGAGACATGAATTGCGTCATCGCCTGCAATTTTTTCCATTGCTGTAAAATTCGAACGCAGTGAAACAGTTGCCTTTTCAGGTGATTTCTTCGCCATCCTGAACGGTTCTGCCGTTCGGCACGGCTGCAAGACAGGCATGGAATCGGGTCGACCCGAAGGGATTTTTGGCATTGCACATGATGTAGGCCAAACGTAGGGGAAAGTCTACGCTGTCTTGTTCCTTTGGGCATCCAGACAACGCGCAGCGTGTAAAAAACACGCGGAAATACAGCAGGCGGAGCGGGATTATCTTCACCCCTCCAGCATTGGACTTGTCTATTCTTCCGCTGTCCTCTGTCTCTCGTCCAGAACCCTTAACTTAACGGCTCAAAGGTGCCACATATCGAAAAACTGAATCGGATTAACATCCATGCAAACATGGCTCAACTCGCGCGAACGCAAGATATGAATTAGACTAATTTTTTTAACACTCTTATACAATGAAACTATGAGTGAATTTTGGCCTCCAAACATGGCAGATTTTCCAAGCTTTATGTGACAGAATCTTGAGTGAAGAGATGGTGGCAACAATACCAAATGCAGAAAAGGAGCAGGGTGAATCCTTGTTTGGAGACGAACTAAAGGTGAAAGGAAAGCAAGAAAGGTGACAGAAAGAAAAGGAGTTATGAGAAGGCAGAAAGATCTCTCCCACTTCTTCTTCCGTATGAGTAAGCGACGCGCCCTTTCCCCCCCCTATTACCCCAAACTGTCTGGATACCGAAGGAAACCAGACAGTCCGGATTTTACCCCTATACTTGTCCCCCATTATGATCAATGGCAAGGATCCTCCATTCAGACCGACCAAATTCCGGACAGGTATTTACGGCTGTGCAAGACGACAGCAACCGCTCAGAACTAACTTGGAAATGGTTCATTTTATTGGGGTTCCTTTGCAGACCCGAGCGCTGTAATGTTTTTGACATTATCAAGGAAATAATTCAACCTATTCAGCCAAGACTAACGAAATAATTATTCACGGTAGTATTCATCATGAACATCATGAACACTGCTCAGTTACTGCTCGGAAACTGAATATGACTTGGGGGGGGGGGGGGATTTCGAGTACCCAAAGCAAGGAGCTTTGAGCAGCAAGGAAATAGAAGCCACCACGAACAGACCCCCAGAATATACTCCCAGAATTGAAAGACTGTATGAACCGTAATATTCGCCTCATTACTCAAGGAATGCTAGACCCAGCAGAATGGAATGTGCTGTCGGCACGACAGCACATTCCTATCCTAACCAAAGACTATCCTAAACACCAACGGAATCCACTAAGTCCAATTTTTAGAATGGCTTTGCTGTGCATAGTATTTGCAGAGCGCGTGACACGCTTTCTGATTTGATCATGTGCATCAGCTTCCAAAAAGTGAAATTGGCCTACAACACCTAAACTTCCCCGTCTTACGTCATTCCACGTTCCTCCCATAGATGCCTGATCAGCAAAATTAACTTTTGGAACACTCTATACTCCCATTCTTTGTCGAGCCAGGTGCATTCCTAATTCTCGACCTTGAGCCGCCAATTAACAACTGTCACTGCCTAGAACACACGCAGTTTACATCCGATCAGGCCTGATAGCGTGTGACCTTGTGGAGAATACTTTTTTTTTTAGGAAATACTTTCCACTTACCTCCTCGTTCTGCTCAATCGGAGGAACGAAAATCCGTCACTCCACACGGAGATCACGGATGGAATGTCCTTCGACTATACCCAGTTCTCGTCTGGCATTGTAAGCAGCTTATTGCGGTCTTGGAAAGGCGGGAGTCGAAAGCATAACAGTGTTCAGGACGAGAGCGGGAGGGGAACGCTTGGAAACGATGTAACATCCATGTGACCTTAAAATTCCGACGATCGGAATCCCAAGGTTCCTTCTCTCTCGAAAAGCATTTCCCTCAATAACGGACATTCCAACAATTGATAGAATATGCCACAGAACTTCCATGAATGTTGGGGGTTCTCTGTAAAGCAACTCATCTGATCGTGAATTCCACCTTTCTGCGAATCAAAACCCAATTAATTGCCATTACCTCGACTTATTACGCAAGAACTAAAATCTACTGCGTCCCAACGAAATCTAGGCAGTAATGCCCATTTAACCCTTTGTCCTGAATTCTGTTCTAGGCCTGGAAAAAATATCACTTTTGGGGCTTCAACAAGGCTTATGTAACATTAAAGTGCTTTTAAAATGATTTCCTCAAGTATATTTAAATATTTACTTCAATTACTTAAAGATATTAAATTAATAAAATCATGTTATTTCATTAGTTCAGCTAGTATTCAAATCCCTACTTTACGCCGTATGCTTCCCAGTATTTCTGCACTACTTACCATCATCAAGCTTGCAAAAACGGGAAAAATTGTCTGAGAAAGAAATGTCTCAGCTGAAATTAATATAAATTATGACACCATTTTTGAAGTGCCAGAGGAAATACAGCAGCTTTATATTACTGTGGACCAGGCTAGGGAAACCCTTGCGAACCAGCGAACGAGGTTCGCGGGAACGGAGACGCGCAGGCGGGCGGCCTGCAAAATTTCAATTTGTCGCCTTAGGTTCGCGGGAAAATTTTTTTTTTCCTACACTGCTGTGGACTACTGTCATCTAGACAAGATGTGGTGAACTACTATAAATAGGGACTCAAAATGCCGCCAAGACCTCTAGATCATGCATTCCTATGTAGACCTATAACATATGCGTAGCAAATGCGGACTTCCCGAGTCCCATCAGGACTGTAGGGGTTAAATACGTAAGGAACCAGGTTAGCCACATTCTCTTGCCATTCTCACGCAATGCCATCGGTGCATACTCAGCGCAATGACGGGAGTTATGCAATCTCTCTCTTCCCGTTCATAAGCGACATTTCACCATTCTTGGTTTCCTTATTGTTCCAGAACTTGAACTTGGAGACTTTTCCAACGATAGGCACTCATTCAATCAATAATAGTAACGAAGGGTTTGAGAAGCAAAGTCTGTCGAGTAGATGGAACAGACATCTCATTCAGCATCGAACTGTCTTGACTCAATGGAGATTAATAAGAAGCTTCTGCCCGTTGATATGCATCGAAGTAGCGACGAAGGCAGCACGGTATGCCGTAACAAGGAGACATGCTGCAGCATATTCTAATGAGCTGCTCTCTTCATAGAATTCGCACTCGCAGTTATGTTTTTTTCTTTCTTCCGGATACGCAAGACAAACCCGTCAAATTTCCATGAAGGGCATTAGCGCCACCCATTAACAGTTTCTTTAAATAAGCATTACTTTTAAAAACAAGTGAATGAAACCAGCTGTCGTAGGGTAATGCGCGCGAATGGAATTTGAATTATCTAAAAGATCTTTTAAACCATTCAGTGAAACCTTAATGCATGACAAGAGGGAAGATACTTCTGTAACCAATTGGATATTGTTTTTTCACCGTAGGCAAGGTTACATTTACTAAGTTTCTACTTGATTTAAAGCTGCTCATATCCGAGCTTAGAGAAGAGAATGATATTTTTTGAGTAGCGAATGGTGACATTGTTCGCTGCATGAGCGTGACGGGAGAAAGATGAAAGTTCTCTTGGTTCTGTAGATGCTCCTCGTGCCCTAGAAATCACCGGAAGCTTGTGACATGACCTCTGAATGATGATGTCCTTGTTTTATGAGACATCCACAACTCCCACTTCATCTCCGAATCCCGTTGCTCGCACCGCACAATCATATTCCTTTCGTGCATGCTGCACAACAGCATAATGTAACGTATACCTCCTTTAAAAAAAATTTCTAGGCAGAATGAACGTCAGAAGAAAGGACGTCAGTAGGTAATCAGGACACTACTTCGCAAAGCAAAGGCCCTACTCATCCATCACAACCATAAACGTAAGGAACAATGGGTTTGCCTTTTGTATTCTACATGCGACGTGATCAAAACACCTCAACTGATATTTTTTTTAAAAGAAAGCGAAGTGAAGTGTAGGAGCTAGAAATGCGGATTTCCACGTCCCGGTTTTTTTTATTGGTCTAAATTCAACGTTTGATACATCGGGTACACGTCTTTATATTCATCTCATGCGATAATAGTGAAATGGAGAACCTAAATAATTTTTCCTCCATCATGTTCAATTCATTACGTAGAGTAAACTTTTAGAAGCAAATAGGTTCTCGATCGCCTCACAACTTTGATTTATAATCAATCTTAATTCCATGATTGAAGTATGAATGCTGCTCCAGAATGATCCGATTCGTAGAAATTCGACAACAAATTCAATGATACTTGAAATGTTTTAAAATACAAAACCCTCAATGGTACACATTACATATACAAATGCAAGCTTCCAAACATGAGTCCATATGAATTTCATGAATAATAAAAGTGAAGGCCCGTAACCCCCAATAAAGAATAATTAGAATAATTTCCATTTACATCAAATGATTTGTAAAAAAATATATCTGATTTGCAGCAGACAACCCGATCCCGGCATTACGCTTTAAATATGGCTTTTTGAAGGATACGGTGCAATATCCCATCAGTCTTCAATATGTGTGTCAAAAGAAAGCACAGTTCTTTGTCTGATATTCCAGGGAGGGATGCTTCATCGCTCATCTGCAGATTTGTAATGTATATTCGGAGAAGGCGTGCTGTACTTTTTGAAGGAGCGTGAAATGTTAGAAAAATAGGGGTCCATAAATTGCAGGACCCTGGATCTTCCCAAGAGGCGTTCCCTTCGAGACTCCTACCCTCCCTTTTTTGTTTCCCTTTCGCAACTCTTTTGCGATATTCGAGAATTAAATACACTGCTGAAAATGAATCGCCGCGCCCCATTCCCCAATAGACTTCCAGCACTAATAACAGCGTTCCCGTTTCGAATTTCGTCCACTCTGAAGACAAAAGTGATGGAAGTACTCTTTCAGAAACAAGTACATAACGGAACTCATGCTACCTTTATAAACATCACGGGGGTAACAAGCTGAGACAACTAAATGTGCAGTGTTCATCGGCTCGAGACGACCTCGTATAGGCCGATATATAGATGGATATGGAATCTTTATCAATCTACAGACCTGCGTATCTGTGGTAATCATTAGGACATAAATTGCCAACGTACGTTTATACAGCGGATATTCCACCAGGAACTGTGAAGAGAGAGAGCGCGTCGCGAGTGCCGTAGGGCTCATTTGAAAGCGGGCAGTGAGAGTTACGGTCAGGTCCTCTCGTGCACACGGAAGCGCTCGCTCTCGCTCTCTCTCTCTCTTTCCCTCTCTTTTTCTCTCGGTTTCCCTCCCTTCCCCGTTGCGCAATCCCGTTCCACGACTCCAATCAGAAGAAGGGCGTTTTACTTTCCTCGTTTACACTTTCTCTGCCATGCACCTCCCGACCAGCACGGTCCCGGAATTATACACGGCGAAATGACACACGAGCGCTATGGCCTGATTTCAACAGAGTTCGTTCGAAGCATGTGGAACTAATTTCTCCCATCGTCTCAGACTCATGAAGTCACCCAGAATCATATTTTTCTGCTTCAGAGTTCTTTTTTTTTTTTTTACTTTATCGCTAACTATCCTACAATCACTCCTTGATACCATCGATACTACTGGGGTCACGAACCTCATTTGCAGAGCGAATGAGCTGAAACGACTGGCTGTCAACAAGGTTTAATTCACTTTGATGGTTAATTTCGTCTTATATTGATCGCCGCGTGTCGTTCTGCACATCGTCGCATAGGAATCAAAACCTCTTTGTTCGCGGTGGACAACTTTTTTCCCCCTCGGCTGGTGAGAGTTGCATTTCAATTCCTCACTATCATGCATCACACTGGGAGACATCAACCGAAGACCGACAAAACAATCTCAGATGCGTCTGTTCACTAATCTCACAACAAAAGCAGAACTGCTACCCACCTGAAACGGACTAGCAGATAAACGTGTTAACATAGATCTATACCATAGATGGAAGGTGAAGAGTGCAGAAAGTGAAATGGCACCATTATTGCAATTGCAAGGACTTGTCCTTATCCTGATATGCATTATCTGATATCCAAATGAAACACCAAAAACCCTTTCTCCAACGTCCTTCCTATTCACCAACTCTATTATAAGAAGGCATACATGGCATGCGGCATAAGCCTACAGGATGGACACAGTCTCGAACAACCCCACACATCCCCCCCCCTTCCCACATGTCACTTATCCACAAGTTCAGAATATTGATGCGATATGGGAATGCGGCCACAGATGACATCCGACAAAGAATTACTTGTGTGAGACGAAGCGCTGTTCGAACGGCAGCCTACAATTGAACTTCCTTTAAGTAGCGCACTTAACTAACCCGGAGGGATGAGATGCTCACAGGTCAGCAAAGTCATTTACGTCAATAATGTAAAATAATTTCAACAAGAAGTAGGTCTTACGACTGCGTGCACCAATCACGCACGCCTTAGTGAAATCTCGGACTATTTTCCCAGGTTGTTTGGTCGGGTCTAAGGGGAGGCTGACAGTACGTACGTATAACTCCACTTGAGCGTGATATGACGTTATTTTTGGAGGTTCTTTGGGAGTATGTGCTCACCCGGTGCGTAACAAAGTTTATAAGCCACATTCTTTCCTACATCCTTGAAAGAGTCCCAGTTAATGCGGAATGCGGGCTACATTACTTCCCTCGTGATTTCTGCACTTCTTTTCTGCGCTGCCATCGTTCATGAAGATCAAAGCAACCTCGTTCTTTCAAGTTCTTGGTCTGCGATTGCCATGTCTCAGGAAAAGGAAAAATTCACCTTGGGCGTGCACACTAAGGATACTGAAAATGTTTCCAATTTTCGAACGGTAAATGAATGTATATAATGTCCCAATTGAACTAATTATATTCTGCAAGTACTAACGACGAAATGGAGCAGTCGGTAGTAAGGAGATACAGGAACTTCTGTTCATAAAAATATCGATTAAAAGCTAACGGTTCGTCTCCTGAAACAGACCGGATAGTGGAAAAAATGAATAGCGAAACGATTCAATTCTACGCATCAGTGTCTTATGAGGGGAATTTATTTCGGGGATGACAGGGTAAATGGCCAAGGTATGCGATATACTGCACGTGAGAGGTGCAATGCATGGAAGGGCGTCACGACTCCTCTGTGAATATATATTCACGGGAGTGATGTGTCACGAGGGATCGATCTCCTTTGTCCATCCTGTTCCCATCTCCCTTTCACTTCCTGGATCTTCCAAGTCTCCTCCTTCAAATTATTTCCATTTCCTTTCCAGCCCTCTCTCTTTCTCTCCCTACTCTCCTTCCTATTGCAGTCGGATCTGTGCGTCTCTAGGTGGAAAATTCGACCCAACTGTGGTCCACTCTTTGAAGAATATTCCCACCGATAAATACATTAAGTCGAAAGCCACATGTAATCAGGCGAACTCGAATTTCGCATCCCTGCGAAATATCCCAATATATCAGGTCAGATTCATTCTTAATTCTGAGTTAGACTTTAGAGCGTCAGTTTCGACCAAGCTGCTGCGACAGGTCACTTAAAACATTTGAAAGACGTGAACTCACCTATACACGGAATCATCGTAGAAGAGCTTGATCCTGAGTTTTTGGTTAATCGCTCTCTTCTTCATCAGGTGGGGGGGTTCAATGTGCGCGTGCAGAATCACCTGGGGGAGAAAGGAAATTTATTGACTCAGGTATACAGGCGGGCTGAGAGGAAGGAGTATGCGCACATGAAAGGGGAAAATAAATATTTCCTCATGGTCTTCAAGGGGAGGCTAAAAAGGCAAATAAACTTTCTTCGTATTAAGGGCTTACAGCAAGGAAACCATTTTGCATGAAAGAGCCTAATGTAATCATTCCTCAATCCGAATTCTGAATCGTTGCAGACAGCTTATGCTGATAACTCGGATCATCGCTGCACTAGCTTCCACGTAATCTGGGTATTTACTTGAAGAGATTCAGACGGGACATTTTTGGCTTAGATCTTGGAATTTGCGAAATCCCATCACTCCTTTCGCTATCGACAGCACATAGTGAGAAATGAAAATGGACCCAATCTGAGGGGGACATGCACATTTCGAAATCATGTAGGGGATTTCGATATAGATGCATGACGTATGCACATGGAAATGAGAGAATCGTCCCCAAGGTTAAGGTGTTGAGGACAACAAGAGAAGAGGGTCATTAATGAATAGAGCTTGACCCGGATATGAGACAGTGCGAACTGGACTTGTATAGATACGTTCCAGCAAGTCTCGCGGGCATGCATGCAGAGACAGAGACAGAATTGCATCACCGGCGAAGCGAGGAAAGACTCCTTTCACGATCTGAAGGGAAAAGGGCCTCTCCAGTTTCTCTCCGCAACAAGAGCATGGCATGGGAATCGGATTCTCGTGCGAGATCGACCTCGTGCATTGTAAGGGGGCCAAATCCCGGAAGCTATTCTCTGAATCAGAACCTAGACACATCAGACGAGGCATTGCGCGACGCGATGCGACAGAGGAAATATTTTCTCACAACTTTCCCATTGAACTTCGCGTACCTTAAAGGGCACGATGCTGCGCTGCTTGGCGCAATGCCGTTGCAAATGAATAAGAAAATGTATGCTGTGTCGCGTCACACCGCAGTGCATCAGGTCGTCTCTGTTGTGTTGAGGCCGTTACGCTGCATAGTTAACCTGGAACCCCATGGCGAGACGCCTGTGTTTTTAGATTGCCTTCTCCCCTATCCCTGTCTCTCTTCGAGGACATGCCACAGACAATGCACTCGCTACAAATCGCGCATAGATATAACGAATGGCGATTGGCGCGTGCCTAAACTTGGAACGCTGACAAGAATATCCCTCTATAACATTTGAATACCCAAGCTTGCGCTTCTGATAGCTTCAACGGTTGGTTCACGAGAAGAGCTATCAATCCCATTTGTAGCCATATATATAATGAGATTGTCATTAGGAAAAAAAAAATCCGATGACGTCTCAGTAAAGGAGCATCACAGGAATCGTGATTTAAGACATGCGCCCGACGAGTTAAGCCCATAGGCCAGACCCATATCGGCGCAGGGAAATTATTTCAAAACTCCACGGAATAGTTTGAAGCCTGGGTCAATCGGGGAAGAGAAGATAAAGATAAGTCAATCCAACGACACTGTAAAGGTAGGTACACATATTCGGTATAACCAACATCAGTCAAAATATCGTCGGGTATACGGACAATCTCGGGATTAGAGCGCGCCACCGCCTGTTAACTTTCAATGCCATGCTTTTGGATGAGAGCGAAGATGCCAGTCGTAGTGGAACTTTCACTTAGAATATCCCCAAGAATTTCCCACATTCTCTGAACTTTCGTTCACTTTCTTGCATTTGCAGTCAGTTCCTTCTTTGCCCGACTCAAGCCTGTATCAAGATCTTTAAATCAGATAAGTAAGGCATATTTTCCCATGCAATCAATCAAGTTACTGAACGCATTCGAACGATACTCACCTATCATTGAATAAAGGCATGAAGAGTGTCAAATATGAAGTGAGTCCGTAACAGTAAACGGGAGGATCGGAGGGAGGGACCTTGTTAGCTATGAGCCAAAGAAAATGCAGCGAGCCGACCCCATCCGATCAGAAGGACTGAGGCCTTCATATAATCAGAGGGTGACAACCAACTACCTATCAATTCAAGCAGTAAATGTATGTCTTCGACAAGTTGATGATACCGCGTAAGCGATGACAGCGACACGAAGATTTACTGACCTAAACTATAGGATTTCATAAGATGAGGAGTTTACGTAACTTCCGCGAAGGGAGGAGGGGTGACTCAACTGGATCTAAATCATCATTCTTTCAAAATGCAATCCATCCTTCAAGGGAAAACAAATTTCGTACGGCAGACATACAAAATGTAATTGTTATTTTCCCACCGAAATCTAACGAAATACAGGGGAGCGGATTGTCGATGGAATTTCAACTGTTTTCCCAAGGTATTAACGTACAGCAGGATGGAAAACAAATGAGGCCATATGAAAAATAACTTTACTATAAAAAAATTTTATTTACTCAACACCAGAGCTTAAACTTGCTACTATGCGACCGAAGTAGGGTTGGATTAGCTGGATATCTTTACGACCCTTCCACATGTGAAGAGACTCCCTTCACTTTCACCTCCTCTTTCAAACGAGTTCATTGATACCGTGACAGGTTTTCTTTGAATCTGGAGCAGAAACAATCAGCGCAATCACAGAACTGGTGAAACAAGAAAATTCTGTGATCTTGGCTTCTACAGTAATCCACCAATCACATTCCAAATGGCAGCCGACTACTGGAGGCGGATTTAAGGTAATCTTTTATGCACGCGGCATTTGACCATGCAAATGACTTTCTTTTAAAAACCACATTGGGGCTATTCGGTCATATTTTCACAATGATTTTCTCCCGCGTTACATTGCGAATTTTCACGTTTCTGCTTCTTTTTTTCATTGGAAACCTTGGCTAATTTGTGATGCTTTCCATGACACCATTGACAATTTTCAGGAAAAATACCTGAAAAGTTTCACGGACAGTGAATGCAGTTTGCATTGAAGTTCAGGTAATGTGTTAAGTTTCCTTCAGATATCTCATGGCATCCGGCATTTCAACATTTTACATTTGTTTACCCGAAAATTTCAAAATTGTGGGTCGGAAGAGAAAGCGGGGCAATGGCTCCGCTCTTAATAAAAAATTCGTGCTGCCCTCTTCCATGACACTCGCATGATGAAGATAATTCCTGCCAATCGTGTCGTTACAGCCAAAACAATGTCATCAAGTCGAAAACGCACATCCGCAGCTTTCACTTATTCCCCAGAAAATAACTCTAATCCGGCAATCAGTTCTACATCCGCTGCAGATCCCCCCTTTTCCTGACCTTCAAATCGAAGATGTTTTGAAAGAATCCGTGGAATGCTCATGAAACTGACGTTATATATATATAAGATGCAGCATCAGTAATTCAGTGGTTTGATACTTCTATAAATTCTGTAGGCAATGGTTTTTGCGAACAGAAAACAAATTCACCAAGTAGTGCAAAAATTTTCACGAGTTTTGATGGTTGTGCTCATGACTGGAGGTGTCTCAGAAATCTCCATAGACTCTCAGGCGTAAGGCGACACGCCTGCGGAAGGATATCTTACATACAGGAGGATGTCTGGCTTCATCGCGTGACAAGCTCTTATGATCCCTGCTCTGAAGGTCTACTAGGCTAGTGGGTTGGGTTCCTATACGCATCATTCTTGACGTGGCGCCAAAGATAATAATCTAGCACCTCTTGCCACGCTAACAACCACCACAACAAAGGAAAATATTAATGAACTCGTTCTCTGCTCACAAAAACCTTTAGTTTAGGAATATACGCTAAGCACGTGCATACCCATATCGTTCCTTCGCGTATACACATACAAGCGAAGGTGGGGGAAGAAGCTCGCCACTAACGACTGGATTTAATATATTCCAGCAATTCCGGACCTTTCGAAGGAATTTACTGAAAACACGAACAATTACGCAAAAAACACGTAGGACAAAAAAAACTGCCCGTCCCCCAAAACAAAAAAAATTGCATGCTCCCTAGGTATTAAGCTGGTTTAGCTTTTGCCTTTCCGGAATTCTACTCACGGCAAATCCTCATCGAATACAAAAGAGTACTTCGCCTTCTTTGATTATATATAATAACACTCTTGCGAGAGTCACGATAGGGTGGTAATGATAGATACTATCCGCTACTTCTTGACGGCTTTTTGGTGTAATAAAGTTTGGAATGGATTTCCCGCCATTTCCACATGAATTTGGCGTCCGTATTGCTTTTATTTCATGGACTCTTCTGATAAATCAACGTCACGCATCGAAGACGATAACTGCTGGTAGACAAAGAGGTTACCTTTCTCTCTATCGTCTAAAAAATGGAAACTAAAGCTGAAGAAATAATTTCGGCTTTTTGAGGGAGTCACAACATTCTGGTATGCTCCAATTTCATTCATCTTGCCTAGAGTAGAGAATGTGAAAGGAAACTGAGTAATGAACGAGGAATGTAACTCCTCCCTCGTTGAGGCTTGTCTATAGGATTGCTCACGTACAGATCACGTATGAAATACTTTCGTTACCAACTCGTCGATAAGAACCAGAGTCATTAGGGCATTCAAAGGACTGAGTACGCAATCCCATCCTGATCAGATAGAACTCATGCCTTTCAAGTCCAGTCTCAGTCGACTCGAGAACTCCAAGCCCCTCTACATACTTCACGTGACTTGCAAACTTGTATTACTTCATCGAAATTCGATCAATAAAGCGTGATGTGGATGAATGCCATAACACACTCCGTGCATTGCTAGGTTGCACCTGCATTGATATGATTCATAGCTAAAAGCACTTCCGCCGTTCAAGAAATCAAGGCGTATTTGCTCGATTACGCCTCCTCAGAAAGAGGTAAAACACCAATATGGAAAAGCGCTGCAAGAAGAGTATTTCAATGTTTCACTTATTTGTTTTTGTTTTCTATGTAGGTCCCTAGCCGGAGGAGTGTAGTTTCGGAAGTGGTGAAGAGGCCTTAGTCTACTGACCGATATAATCTGAGAGCGTATCTTGTATCTTTTTCACGCATGGCTGCCCAGCACGATTTCCGTTCTCCCCTAAACACAAATCCACTTTTAATGA